CGTTTCACGATACACCATGAGGTAAAAATAAAGGATTAGACAGATCAGAATTAACAAGAAAAATGCAGAGATTGCCTCAATGATAAAATCATAGTTTATGCCCTGGGCTGTTACCACAATGCCTGGAATTGGTGTTAACGCGGCTAAGAACCAAGCTGTTATGGCGAGTTTCTTCAGGCGGCTTCTCGTCATTTTCACTTTGTGTTCATAACAATTCCGTATTGCCTGGTTCCTCTCCCAAGCGATAAGGATCAAATGGTATAGGGTACACGTTGTTAAAGCGTGCATAAAGTAGACATTCAGCAAGTCTACTAAGCAAATACGATCATCAAAAACTTGCCGGGAAATAACAAAGTCAACAGTGGCTGATAAAGGCATGTTTATAGCACCTACCAAAATATCCGCAACAGCCATGCTCGACAACAGAATGTTTGGATTTTTTTGCAGTTCCTTCCTTGATCTTACTGCTGCGATGACCAAAATGTTTAAAATGACTGCAGCGGGAGATGCGATAGATACGATTGCGACCATTATCCAAGGGAAAACTTTGTCAGTTAGGTCCCATAAAAAAGTGGGATAGTATGGACAAGAAAAACAAACCTGTTGTCCGTTGAAAAGTTCATAGTTGCTTATGTATCACTGTGTGGACAGTCGGTCCATCAAGTTTGATTTTAGTTAGTTCTCGATTGCCGATGTAGTTGGTTTTATGTGCGTGAACGCTTTCGGCGTAGTTTTGCGACACCGGCAAATTTTCTTGTATTGCATTGAATTATGTTTGCGAATAATTTCCTCCTGCAGGAAAAAACAAAAGAGAAGAGGAGTAACAGTTGTATTAGGGAAATGAGCGAGTCATTTGTTGGATTGTGTTTCGTATATAAGGACGGGAAATGTCATTAGTTTCATTCCGCCCTTTTGTAAAATATTTGGAAAGAAATTTTTGTTACTCAAATTTTAAATAGCTTAAAATGAGCCAGTCTTTCAAAAAGGACAATTTGGACGCCATTTTGCTCAACGCTACTGAAAAAGTGATTTAAAACAAATTTACTTACAAGTAGCCCAAGCTCACAAGTAAGAATGGGTAGAGTGCCGTTTTTCGAGAGATTTGTGATCTCAGATTCGGGTCATGATAGCTTGAGAAAATATTCCACATTTCGCGGGGTGGAAGTGGAATCCTTTGAATCTTGATATTCATGATTCCTGTGGGTTCTTTTTTCACAATGCTTCTTGATTCTTTTAAAAATGTCTACAAGAATTGTGATCCCTATTTCAATAAATTTTGTCATCGATCCCAGTCTGAAATATTAATGCGTGACTTTCCGAAAGAACATAGACTTTTCATAAGATAAACATAAGACTTACGTAGACTTTTAATAAGAACCTTTTGAACATCCATTCATCAATTTCACAATAGGTTATTTAAAAAGTGTTCTAAATGCCTGAACATTTGTCTGTTAGTCGGTACTGTAAATATGGAAGATAATCGGTTCCTCAAAACAACCACAATCGATGCAAAATGACGCTGTATGGCAACTGCAACGGAAATTGGCTTGGTGGTGATTACTTTAAGGTAATAAAAAAGAAAAGTGTTTTCTTACTGAATTTGGAACAATAAAACAGTGAAAATGCACTCGACAAATCAGCGAAACACTGTTAATTAATGCTTGCCTAGTCCCTGTACGGCGACTTTCCAGGCCCTCTCGGTCAATGCAATTTCGGTGACGTATCCGAGACGAAGGGCCGGGAGATTGAGACGCCCTCAAAAACTTTCTCGGACCATGTGACCCGAAACGCATCTGCCGTGCACAATAGTGAGCCCTAGGGACCAGTCAAAATTAATGCATGGTTCACTTTGACCTGTTAGCATCCTCCCCGGGCATACCTCGGGGATTTGGAATTTTTTTTCTTTCCTAGTGGTCTATTCCCCACCCCCGGCCCGGGAATGCAGTTGGAGGCAATTCGCATCTCCGAGCTCCTGATCGACCTCTTATAGGTTTTTTTCCCGGTACATATTTTTGGGAGCAATAGTGATTTCGTACAATAGCAAAACTAGACGTTTTCAGAACTTTCCTAAACGTTTTTTTTTTAGTTTATTGAGAGAAAGATAATACATGGTAGTTAAAACATGAACAACACGTTTGAAAACGAAACGAAAGAAAAAAAACTATTGAGCGCCTCCCTGATTGAACACTTCAAACTAACACTGGACTGAATCTTTGTCTATTTGTATATATTAAAAGCGTTGAATCTGTTTTCATATACAGTCTATTTATTTGTTGGCTTGTTATTAAACTAGGCTGAAGAAATATTTCTTTGTTTGTTTTACAAACAAATATCCATTCGAGTACGCACCATACGCACATTCGTCTACAATTTTAAAACATACCTTCAAATATAGACGTTAATTTTAATGGGTCACTGCTCTTCAACCACGCTCCAGCCAATTCCTGCGTTTACCCTTGAAGAAACGCAGTCTTGAGTCGCGCAGCTTCGTGCAAACCGCGCGTTAAATAACATGTACTTCGCAAAATCAAAGGGAAATTAATTTTGATTTGCCCCAGCCTCCTACCCACAGGACAGGACCGCGTCAAACAATTCCCCACCCCATGGCCCGAAAAGCTAAACTTGTCCTAGGGGATGGTAACGGGTCAAATTGAATCGTGCATAAAACGAAAACAAAGCTGTTACTAAGTGACGTCTTTTATTTCCAAAAGTTACTCTTTCTTTCATTTATTTAATTCGGTAAATACTAAAACAACTATCCCCCTCAGGGTCGATGCAAAGCGCCTTCAACGACAGGAAGCTCAGTATTTTGGCGATAATGAAAAGATTATTAGATTCACTAGAGTGAAACCCCGCTAGTCTAAGGACAACGGCTTAATACGGACACCCGTTTATAATTAACAGTTTTCTTTGTCCCGACGAAATGGTCATATATTTCCTCTGAAATTAACCCGCTTATTACGGACAGCGGTTAATACGGACAACAGACATTTTCTTGTGTCCCGAGTCACAAACTCCCATGTAGAGTGATTTTCGTATGACCTTGAAAAATGGTTTCGGTAAGTGTTTGTTATTTGTTTTATCAGCCAATGCATAAAAAGATCAAAACATGGCCTCTTCGTTTTCCCGCCAAAGAAAACCTTAATATGGAGAAGGATACCTGCAAAAACCGTGTTCGAAGATCCTGCTAGTTGTAAACGTTGGATCTCTAGAAAAGAGATCTAGTCAGCCAAAATATAAAGAACCAAGAACGAGAAGTCCAAAGACTACTGCAATGCTGATTTAAAACAAAGTGTAGTTGTTTTTTATGAAAATATTTCGGCTGGCCATACCAGCCTTCTTCAGGTTTACAGATGTTACTGAACTTATGTAGCAGTCACAATATTATAGAGATGGAGAATGTCGCAATAAAAATTGTTTAAAAGGGAGAAGCGGAAATGAGGTATAACACAGAAACTGGAAAGGAAAAATACTAAAGAGATGGATTACAATAATTCGTCACGGTGGTTTAGGCCATGAGGCATGAAGTTTTTTCTTTCGAGCGTTTGCTTAACCAACTAAGAGCCACGCGCGTTTGTGTCTGTTCTATAAACCAATCAAATCGCTCTATTTCCGTTCGTTTGATGTTTCTGTTTTGTTCGCGCGTTTTCATTTCAAGGTCATATGAAAACCACTCTATCGTCGAGTGAGCAGTAAAATAACTAACGAGCAAAAGCAGGCAAAAAAGATAAGCGAAGAGCATTTAAGCATCTTTTAAAATACCTCAATCCGCTCACTACCCCGCCCACTCACTGAAAAGCCATTTCTCCTGTCAAAATGTCAAATATCAAAACGTCTCCCCTACGCGGTTTTCGCGCATCTTTTCTCGATCTGATTCCCTCTCTATCTTGGAGCTTGGAACGGGCTACAACTGGTTTTAAAATTGCAATTGCAAGTCTAGTACTCGTAAATCCAGAACCATACGAATGTCAAATGTCACAGAACGATGGGGCCGACATACTTCTTTTCAATAGGCCTTTACGAGAACGTGACGGAACTGCACATGAACCCTCTGCGCCACTAATAAATGTGGCGGATTTTGTCAGACGCTTATTCAGTTTCGTGTTATTGGACGAGAATTGCTCCTTCTTCAAATCCTCTGGAGGATCAGACAAATTAAAAGAACTACGTCTAGCATCCCAACTTTTCTTTGAGTTTTTGGGCGAGGATAAACGAAATATTGAGAAACATCCGTCAAGCCTTTGTGGGTGGACTGTCGCAACAACTGTTAAAATGGACGAGGGGTTGTTCTGCGGCCCGGGACTCTCAAAAGAGTTACTGTGTGATCTGATTAGTGAAGGAGCTGACACAGATCTTTTCTTCATTGCACCACTAAATACTGTCACGTTGGCTAATTCGCATGACTCTGATCTTGAAAAAAGGCGACCGCTGTACGCATTTGGTTGTTTTTGAGTACCTCCCATTGAAGAAAGATCCTTTGATCTGACATATTGCATGGGAAGGACTGTTGGCTTAGTCTCTTGAGGTTTTCTGATGCACAAAATCTCGAGAATGATGTTTCTGAAGCGACGGTTCCGGTAGCAGTAAATTAGTGGATTCACTATAGAGTTCATTTGCAATAGTGTCTCTGCTGACCGGAAGACGGAACTCTTGCGAAAACCTGGGTACAAATCTCCCAACAATTTAACAGTTACCGTGGGAACAAAGGAAAGAATCACAGCTGCTGAAGTCAATGCGCATGTCATAGCAACTCTGTTTTCGAGTTTTGTTTTCACCAGAACAGTGACTTTGGTAATCAGTTTACGTTTGCGCGTTTCGCGATACACCATGATGTAAAAATAAGCGATTAGAATCAACATGAGAAATTCAACGATATAACAAATTATATCGTAGTAAATGCCCGGGGCTTTTAGTGCAATGCTTGGAATTGGTGCTAACGCGGCTAAGAACCAAGCTGTCATGGCGAGTTTCTTCAGGCGGCTACTTGTCATTTTCACTTTGTGTTCATAACAATTCCGTATTGCCTGGTACCTCTCCCAAGCGATAAGGATCAAATGGTATAGGGTACATGCTGCTAAAGCGTACATCAAGTAGACATTAATCAAGTCTACCAAGCAAATATGATCCTTAAAAACTTGCCGGGAAATAACAAAGTCAACAGTGGCGGATAAAGGCATATTTATCGCACCTACCAAAACATCCGCAACAGCCATGCTCGACAACAAAATGTTTGGATTTTTTTGCAGCTCCTTTCTTGATCTCACTGCTGCGATAGCCAAAATGTTCAAAATGACTGCAGCGGGAGCTGCTATAGATACGATTGCAACCATTATCCAGGGGAAAACTTTGTCAGTTAGGTCCCACACAAAACTGGGATACTGTGGGCAAGAAAAAGCTAACCTGCTCTCGGACGAAAGGTTCATAGTTGCTTGCGTATGAACTCCCTGATAAACTGACTCTTACTGTTTGAGTTGGTAGACGATTTATCCATCTTGATTCCAATTATCCTTGATCGCCAACGATATAATGGGTGCTAATTAATCAAGAGTCCCGGAAAGTAAACAATCAGTCATATATCGTTTTAAACTAAACTGATTTTTGCAGGCGGTGGTACGATTAGTTTTCACAGGGTGGAAAAAAAAAACGAAAACAAGAAGGCGGAAAACAGGACAAAGACAAAAACGAACCATATGTTGAATCTCATTTCTTTCGCAAGGCCAGGAAGTCTCATTAGTTTTCCGCTCTTTTGCAGGGAATCAGTTAAGTGAGGTGGGGCTGGGGGCTTTTGCCCCCCATGCTTTTTTAAAGGGGTCTTTAAGAACGACTTTCCAACCTGTAGAGTATCAACTTGATTTTAAGGAACAAGGGTGGCACAGTGCTGAGAGCTCTCGCCTTCCACTAATGTGGCCCTGGTTCAAATCCTGGCGTCGACGCCATATGTGAGTTGAGGTTGTTGTTGGTTCTCTTCCTTTCTCCGAGAGGTTTTTCTCCGGGTACTCTGGCTTTCCCCTCTCCTTAAAAACCAACACTTCTAAATTTCAATTCGACCTGGAACGCACGGACATGTTCTTAAGAATTCCTTAGTGCTCCGTTGGCAAACAAATTACAAATTACAGGAGCACCAAAGTTCTGATTTTAAAAGGTACGTAAAATAATCTTAAAAGCACAATGGTTTAGATACATATGTGCCCACTTTAGGAGAAGCAAATCTCAAAGTTTACTGGGCGAACATGCCCCCGTCCCCCATAGTATGTACTCGGGTTTATGATCCCGGCGGTCCCCCGGAGAATACTCGCACTTGCGTTTTCGGGTCAGTCTCCCCAATCACCAAAAATAACATTTACCAGACTTTCAAAAAAAACTGAAACCTCAATTTGCTTTACTTCACTGTACAACTAATGAAAAACAAGTTCACCGAAAGGCGAATGATTTCATTGAAATAAATCTAAAAAAGCTCAAAGGTTATGTTAAGGCTCATTTACGGCAGGATAGGCTCGGGTGCGGAAACAATTAGCAGCTCCTGAAGAAATCTGTTTGTTTATACGTTTAAGTTTAATAAGACACTCGAAGAAAAAAGGAGCATTTACATACGCTAAATATTACTTAATGAATGTCAGTAGTGCAAAACCAGCCACCAAGATCATAACCTGCGAATACAGCTGTCTCTCCTCGCTCCTCGCTCCTCGCTCCTCGTTGCTAGGGAAGTCCCTGGAGACGTCCCTAGCAGCGAGGAGCGAGGAGCGAGGAGGGACAGTTCTATCCACAGGCTACCAAGATCAGAGAGGAAACTTAAACTCTGCGTTTTTTCTCTTAAATTTACGAGGTGAATGAGAAGTTCTCTTCCATTATATTTTTTTTTCGCGTAAGAGAACTTTTTGAGAAACCACCATCTAAACCAATGCGAACTAAAATGGAAGAACAGAAGAAATGAATTAAAACCCACGTGTTTTTTAATATTTGTCAAAAGTCTAACTAAATTCAGAAATTGCTGGTGCTTAGCTTCCAATGTGTTTCAAAGTGTTTGCACGGTAAATCACGTGTAAATATGGGATTCCCTCAAAAATTTATGTTGTGGTTTTATTTAATCCTCGGCTAAAGTCATATTGTCCTTTGTTTTTTGGGGGGTATAATGATGTATGATAAAGAGTGTGAAGCAGTTATGAAAATAAAATTTGAATTAAGGATGAAATTAAACCACAACATATAAGCAATCACACAAGGTCACACAGCGTTGTCATACCAAAATGAAAACGCGAAACAAAGAAAAAGAAAAGAAAGAAATACTTCTTTTCAAATTTTAAATTGAATTCCATATGAACCTGCGAGCTCACTGTATCTGGTGGAACTTGTCACTGACACTGTCGGATCCAGACCTTTAGATAATGGGGGGGTGGGGCAGTCATCCAGACCCTGAGATAAGGGGTAGGCCCAGTCTCAAAAAAAATTTTTTTCGGCCTCAGTTTGGTCTAAAAATAAGGGGGAGAGGGGCGGGCCCCCCGGGACCCTCCCCTGGATCCGCCTTAGACTGAGATAGTAACTCACTTTTGGATGATTGAACGCCCGCGTATTGTTCCTTTTTCAAATCTTCCTGAGGATCAGACAGATTAGGAGAATTATTTTTAGCTTCCTAACTTTTCTCAGTTGATTCTTTGGACGATGAAGGTTAACATCTTGGAAAAGTGTCATGTCCATAGGACCTTTGTGGGTGAGATTGACACAATTGTTAAAATGGACAGGGGTGTTGTTCAGCTGCTGGAGGCTGAGGTCCAAAGAGTTGCTGTGTAATCTGGTTAGTGAAGGAGCTGACACAGGTTTTGTCCTCATAGCCGCCATTTAATATCTTAACGTTGACTAATTCGTATGACGCTGATCTTGACAAAAGGCGACGACTGTGTGCATTTGGTCGCTCTAGAGTACCCTCCACTGAGAAACGAGTTGATCTGACATATTGCACCATGGGAACCACTGTTGGAAGTTTTCTGACGTATGAAATCTCGAGAACATGTTTCTAAAGCAACGGTTTGCGTGGCAGTAAATAAGTGGATTCACTATAGAGTTCAGTTGCAAAAGTGTCTCTGCTGACCGAAAGACGGAACTCTTGCAAAAGAACGCATAAAGCACTCGTGCGGTCTTCTCTAAACTTCCAAATATTACGTAACACAACTAGAATCTACTAAACGTAAACAGATGTTCAGATCCATAACATAAGTATTGCGGAGGCGGGGCGAAAACAAAGAGGATATCAAAGTTTATGTCCAAATCTTTTCAATTTGAAAGCGTCGAATAGATCTTATATTTTGTTTCTCCAATGTAGAACAAGTGAGGAGATTTTTAAAACCCTTTGTCCCGGGGGGACACTCCCTAAAATGACCTATACGGGAATGCCCCGCCCAAAAATTAAAGGGGTACCGTTTTCAGGCCCCAGCTATATGAAAGGGAAGGGATTTCACTTGTTGAACTATATGAAAGTGTAGGGAAATCTGTCATTTGGTTCGGTAAAAAGGACCAGAACGACTAACAGATGATTTTATGACTGTGAGAAAGTCGAGAAAACGTTCCTGTTTTTGAGATTTATTTAGACAGAGCATTTATAGCAGTTTAAAGGGATGGACAGTTCTAAGCGGGTACGAGGTTGCACCTCGGGGCGGAGCCTCCCTGTATACAACTTTTTGAGTATCCCCCGGGGTACTTTGTCTTTTTGAAAATCAAGGAAGCAACTTTTTGACCACTGACTCAAAAGATGACTGCCGCACAGTTTGCCGAACCGTCAGTCACTGTCAAGAATAACAGACTTATTTAGTACTTCATCACCTGTGGGATCATATTCCACCTACTTATGACATGACTCTCCTAGGTTCAATCATTTACTTTAATGAGCTTTATTTTGAAAGAAAATAATACTCCTTTGAGTACCGTTACATGACATTCAGTGGGCACAAAATGTACAAGGAAAATAAGCCTAACCTGGTCTATTGTAACGGCAACAACATATTTCTATAGCAACCTCATAATTAATACAAAATTAGAAAACAAAATGACCGGTGTAAGAAACCGTCCTAGTAGATTCATTGCATTAATTTTTTTTGTCAAGGTTAGATTGGACTTAGCTACCTTACAACAAACAAGGCAAAATCCGCCCCGTCAATGCCTTTTTTTGTTTTTCATTAAAAGGCTAATTTATCATTGCACAAACTTTGGACCTAATTCTCTCTTCATTTACAATATTAAATTTAATACTACGTTCTGAGGTTCACTTTATGGATCCAGTCTATAAATCTACCTTTTTCACAAAGGTGGAATCAATTTTCCACTTACGGACGTCCTTAGCCAGTCCCACTACACTTGTGGATAAAGTACGAAAATTATCACTAGTAAAATTCAAACACTTCGTAATCATCGACGGTAAAATCTTTAGTACCCGTGAAGAACAAATCTCCTTGTTTTCCTCCAGTGCACGAAAATTTTTCTCGTAAACGACTATAACTTGATTGAGATGACTGCGCATTATTTGAAATGTGTAGGTATTTTTCTGACCAATAGTCTTGTCCAAACGATGGCCCAAGCGACTTTTTACAGGCAATAACACAACCGCTCTCCTTCTCGTCTGCGGGTATTCGAACAGGCTCCGTCCCAAATGGATTGACCAAACTGAATAGGAATGCCTGTTTGGATTCAATAACTTCCATACGCACACCTTGAGGAGAAAATTAAATATTTTTTACAAACTTTTAACTGACCCTGTTGTCACTATGTTTGGCCGAATACATGCAGCAAAGTTTAATGAACGTTCATTCAAAACTATATATCCGGTCCCAATTAAGGGGGGTTGAAGTATTTATCATCTTAATGAATATAGTTCCGTTATCCCTAAATCCACCATTTTTGGCTATCCCTAGGATTTATTTTTCAAATCATCTATCTTAAAAATATTTTGGCCAGTTATACCTTACTCCCGCTAAAACCCCAAATAAAGCCTATATAAAATCCTGGTGACTGTACACTAATTCAGACGAGTACTGATCTGCTGATGTGACTCAAGTTATATTTAAAACTGACCCTCAATCCACCCTCTCGTCATGTCGCGTATAAATTTGGTCTTGAAATACGACTTTAGAACGATACTAACTGAATGTCTGCCTGAGTGAAGAATGAATTCTCAAAAATCACTTTTCACTAGTTCGTTCGGCGTTATTCCCACGTATAACGTATAAGTATCCAAAAGTGTGTGGCTATTTATCAACATTAAATTTTCATTGCCAGCTTGGCTTAAGGTCTTGGTAAATGAAAATTTTAGTACATTGTTCGATTTCGTTTTTTTTTGGATTTTTGGCATGAGTGGGTCCTAAATTTTATTTTGGCAGAAAAAGAAAATCAGAAAGTGCTTTTTAACCCTCCTAAAATGAGCCTTTTCTGAGCTAACCAGCCAAGCGTGGACCTCGCGCTAAATCTTTAGAGCTGATTTTCTCTCACTCTATTTTAGACGCAAAAATCAAAATTCTCCGACCTCCAGTCGGAACAGGTTTTAAGCTATCGCTTTTAAACTTTCAGATATGATGGATAATGATATAGACTCAAAACTGGTGTGAGGAATTTTCCGATTTTCCTTTGTAACTCATTTTATCTCAGTTTCTTTGCGTAAATCGCGCTCGAGATTCGACTTTTTAGTTTGAAATGTAACAATTCCGCTAATACGAGACATATGCAAATTTCCTCACACCCTTTTTTAGGTCTTTTATCTGTCAATGAGACGCAATAATTAAAAAGGAAGTGAATATTTAACAACGCGAAAGGGCTGGAGCTTCAGCAGTAAACTCGATACCTCTGAGTTCGAGAGCAAAAAACATAAGCGCCTTTTAAAATTCGGTGAAATAAAATCTTTAATAAGGTAATTTAGTCTTTACCTTTAATTTGATATATAACTTGCCTTTGTAGCGAAAATACTCGCGCGACTAGAATTTTTTTCTGTGGGCACCTCGTTTTCCTTTACCGAGACCTTAACTTCGATTATAAAGGAAATCGATTCTTGGTTCATTGAAGTGGACTCCGGTAAGTGAAAACTCCATCCTGCTAGACCTCGACTAACAATTACAGTTATTGTACTATTCAAGAAGACAACGTTATTTTACTTACGCGGACTCCTCCATGCTGCTTCAGTAAATCCGCCAAATATGAAGTTACCACTTTTCACAACCGTTACTGTTGGACCTTTGTAGTCGCATTTTAAGTGGAACGATTCTGCCTCGAAGCCGTCTCGAGAAGCTCTGTACAGAAGTCGCCAGTCGCCAGTTTTGTAAAGTAGCATACCTGACAGGATCATGTCAAGTTCTGGAGTCAGAATCTTAGAATCTGAAAACAACCTTGTGGCTAGCGCTGTGGCTCCTTGAATGGAACTCTTCTGACTCTTTTCGCGGATCTGGGTTTACTTAACTCGTCGATAATTCCTTGTATCTGGTAATAAGTGGCTTCTGTCTCGATTTCCTCCAGATCAGTGCACGTGGCTTCTTCTGGTAAAGATAACTTCCCATCACGCAGGTAGTTAAGTATATGGCGGAAGTGTTTTCCATCTCGATCGATTTCAATCGTCTGAATCGTACCATCTTCAGAACGCTTTAATGAAAACCTTCCGGAAAACATAGCAGCAAAGTACGAGTTTGGGTCCTTTGTTAGCGTTTGGCGAGTTGTGGTAAAATGCTGGCCACCGATGTTGAGGTTGACGGTCTCAGAAATCTGCGTACTTTCAATTTTCTTCGACATACGATCGAATGTTTCCCGCTCGTTATGAAGCTTGTCTGCTTCTTGTTGCAGTTGCTTACAAGCCTGACTAATTGCAGCTGTAGCTGCGTTGAGTTGTCTTTCGATGTTAACAAGGATTTGCGCCTGAGACAATGCCTCTTCTTCCTGACTTCTGTCATTCATTTTAGAAATGACCTGCCTGGGAAAGAGCTCGATCAACTTCGAATCAGTTCTGGCGGCAGAGAACACTTCTCTGTTTTATGAAAGGTAGGGGTCTGATTGTTACTTGAATCTTGAATGCCGTATTGAATTACGTGACCAAGCCTGTTAGTTATCGGAAATGTTTTAAATTGGTCCAAAAACGGAAAATACAAGGGTCTTGACAAACTGCGAGCCAGCGAGCCAGTGAGTCATGCGAGTCAAGCGAGCGAGTCATGCCAGTCATGCGAGTCATCATGTGAGCGTGAGCCATGCGAGACAAATGTTAGTTCCTGTCTTAGTATGTGCTGCATAACAAAAATGCCAAGAAATTCATTTATTATTCCTTTTTCTCCATCTCAAATGACATTGCATTTGGATCCAGATTTAACGCAAGAACAGATACTTTGATTAAATACCACTTGTACTTCTTGAGATATCGTTTGTTACCGGTTCATAGTCTAATTCAGTGTCCAAATGCATATATTCGGTAAAACACACTTTGGATAGAGCGAAGTCAACATGCATAAACCCAGTCTGCGTTCGACCCCCCCCCCCCCAAAAAAAGTAATTAAAAAAGTAATTAAAAAAGCTATTTAGAGCCACTGTATTAAAGGGGGTGAAACTTAACTACAGTTTACGAGTCGTTGCTAGGGACATTATTTCGTGGTTATTATTTCTCACGTGTCTTAAACCGCTAACATGGTGGGAACCGTGAAACTGAACATAAGACAACACTAAATGGACACTATACTTGCGCAACTAGTGCCAGTCCCCAATTCCGCTTTAGAAATGAAAAAGCGCAAAAGTTCAAAGGGAAGAGAATCCATTTTTTTGGCGAGTCATAAGAAATTTAACTTTTTTTAAACATCTGTAGCATGAAATTAGCGTTCAGACGAAAGCAAGAAAGCCTGTTAAAGAAAATGTATGAAAATACCCCTCAATGACGTCATAGCTTTTTCGATAAATGTGAATTTTGAGAAGGAACGTTAAACTTGTTAGTACGTCAGATTTTTTATTGCGATATTCTTAAGCCATTGGCATTGGTTTTATTGTGAAAGATGCAAGACGTTTGGGTTTTAAAGAGTGGTTGTTTTTTTTATGTTCTGGTCACGTACCTTACCACATATGGAGTGACTCGTCAAACGTGACCGAGGAAGAACCTTTACACCTTTGTTTAACGAATTCTCAAACCTTTGTTATTGTTTCACCTCGTTCAATTTGTATGTTGGCGAATTTTTCTGAAGCTGAATTTTAAAGAGCTGATACACCGGAATGAGTATTGAAAACAATGCTTACAGGCTCCGCTACTTCGACTTCCCCCGGCCCACACGCTTTTTTCGAGCAACTTTTCTCGATCTGATTTCCTCGCTATCTTGGAGCCTGGAACAGGCTACAACCTGTTTTAAAATTGCAATTGTAAGCGCAGCACTTGTAAATTCAGAACCATACGAATCTCAAATCAAGGACGTTCACCGAGGACGATGATAACTTTTCATGTTTTCTCATGACAGGGCTTTCATGAAAATTATGCCGAAAACTTTTCACGTCTTTTAAGATGGAAATTGTCCAGGTCGACAACGCAAGGATCTGGCTACTGCAGTGTATCATTGCAAGAACTTCTGATCTTGCTCACCTAACGATGGGGCCGACAAACTTCTTTTCAAGAGGCCTTTACGAGAACGTGAAGGAACTGCACATGAACCCTCTGCGCCACTAATAAATGTGGCAGATTTTGTCAGACGCTTATTCAGTTTCGTGTTATTGGACGAGAATTGCCCCTTCTTCAAATCCTCTGGAGGACCAGACAAATTAAAAGAATTACGTTTAGCCTCCCAACTTTTCGTTGAGTTTTTGGACGACGATAAACGCAATATTGGGAAATATCCTTCAAGCCTTTGTGGGTGGACTGTCGCAACAACTGCTAAAATGGACGAGGGGTTGTTCTGCGGCTCGAAACTGTCAAAAGAGTTGCTGCGTAATCTTATTAGTGTTGAAGCTGATACAGATCTTTTCTTCATTGCACAATTCAAAACTGTCACGTTGGCTAATTCGCATGACGCTGATCTTGAAAAAAGGCGACGGCTGTACGCATTTGGTTGTTTTTGAGTACCTTCCGCTGAAGAAAGATCCTTTGATCTGACATATTGCATGGGATCAACTTTTGACTTGGCTGCAGGAGGTTTTCTGATGCCCAAAATCTCGAGAATGATGCTTCTAAAACGACTGTTTCTGTAGAAGTAAATTAATGCATTCACTATAGAGTTCATTTGCAATAGTGTCTCCGCTGATCGGAAGACGGAACTCTTGCGAAAACCTGGGTACAAATCTCCCAACAAGCCAACAGTTACTATGGGAACAACGGAAGGAATTACAGCTGCTGAAGCCAATGCGCATGTCATAGCAACTCTGTTTTCGAGTTTTGTTTTCACCAGAACAGTGACTTGGGTAATCATTCTACTTTTGCGCGTTTCACGATACACCATGAGGTAAAAATAAGGGATTAGACAGATCAGAATTAACAAGAAAAAAGCACAGATTGCCTCAATGATAAAATCATAGTTTATGCCCTGGGCTGTTACCACAATGCCTGGAATTGGTGTTAACGCGGCTAAGAACCAAGCTGTTATGGCGAGTTTCTTCAGGCGGCTTCTTGTCATTTTCACTTTGTGTTCATAACAATTCCGTATTGCCTGGTTCCTCTCCCAAGCGATAAGGATCAAATGGTATAGGGTACACGTTGTTAAAGCGTGCATCAAGTAGACATTCAGCAAGTCTACTAAGCAAATACGATCATCAAAAACTTGCCGGGAAATAACAAAGTCAACAGTGGCTGATAAAGGCATGTTTATAGCACCTACCAAAATATCCGCAACAGCCATGCTCGACAACAAAATGTTTGGATTTTTTTGCAGTTCCTTTCTTGATCTCACTGCTGCGATGACTAAAATGTTTAAAATGACTGCAGCAGGAGATGCGATAGATACGATTACGACCATTATCCAGGGGAAAACTTTGTCAGTTAGATCCCACAAAAAAGTGGGATAGTATGGACAAGAAAAAACTAACCTGTTGTCGGATGAAAAGTTCATAGTTGCTTGTGTATAACTGTGTTCACAGTCGGTCTATCAAGTTTTTTTTGAGTTAGTTCTCGATTGCCGATGTAGTTGGTTTTATGTACGTGAACGCTTTCGGCGTAGTTTTGCGACACCGGCAAATTTTCTTGTTTTGCATTGAATTATGTTTGCGAATAATTTCCTCCCGCAGGAAAAACGAAAAGAGAAGAGGAGTAACAGTTGTATTAGGGAAATGAGCGAGTCATTTGTTGGATTGTGTTTCGTGTATAAGAACGGGAAATGACATTAGTTTCATTCCGCCCTTTTGTAAAATATTTTGAAAGAAATTTTTGTTACTCAAATTTTAAATAGCTTAAAATGAGCCAGTCTTTCAAAAGGACAATTTGGACACCATTTTGCTCAACGCTACTGAAAAAGTGATTTAAAACAAATTTACTTACAAGTAGCCCAAGCTCACAAGTAAGAATGGGTAGAGTGCCGTTTTTCGAGAGATTTGTGATCTCAGATTCGGGTCATGATAGCTCGAGAAAACATTGCACATTTCGCGGGGTGGAAGTGGAATCCTTTGAATCTTGATATTCATGATTCCTGTGGGTTCTTTTTTCACAATGCTTCTTGATTCCTTTAAAAATGTCTACAAGAATTGTGATTCCTATTTCAATAAATTTTGTCATCGATCCCAGTCTGTAATTTTAATGCGTGACTTTCCGAAAGAACATAGACTTTTCATAAGATAAACATAAGACTTACCGGTACGTAGACTTTTAATAAGAACCTTTTGAACATCCATTCATCAATTTCACAATAGGTTATTTAAAAAGTGTTCTAAATGCCTTAATATTTGTCTGTTAGTCGGTACTGTAAATATGGAAGATAATCGGTTCCTCAAAACTCCCACAATCGATGCAAAATGACGCTGTATGTCAACTGCAACGGAAATTGGCTTGGTGGTGATTACTTTAAGGTAATAAAAAAGAAAAGTGTTTTCTTACTGAATTTGGAACAATAAAATAGTGAAAATGCACTCGACAAATCAGCGAAACACTGTCAATTAATGCTTGCCTAGTCCCTGTACGGCGACTTTCCAGGCCCTCTCGGTCAATGCAATTTCGGTGACGTATCCGAGACGAAGGGCCGAGAGATTGAGACGCCCTCAAAAACTTTCTCGGACCATGTGACCCGAAACGCATCTGCCGTGCACAATAGTGAGCCCTAGGGACTAGTCAAAATTAATGCATGGTTCACTTTGACCTGTTAGCATTCCCCGCGGGCATACCTCGGGGATTTGCTATTTTTTTCTTTCCTAGTGGTCTATTCCCCACCCCCGGGAATGCAGTTGGAGGCAATTCGCAGTTCCGAGCTCCTGATCGACCTCTTGTAGGTTTTTTTCCCGGTACATATTTTTGGGAGCAATAGTGATTTCGTACAATAGCAAAACTAGACGTTTTCAGAACTTTCCTAAACGTTTTTCTAGAGTTTATTGAGAGAAGGATATAGTTAAAACATGAACAACACGTTTGAAAACGAAACGAAAGAAAAAAAACTATTGAGCGCCTCCCTGATTGAACACTTCAAATTAACACTGGACTGAATCGTTGTTTATTTGTATACTATTAAAAGCGTTGTATCTGTTTTCATACACAGTCTATTTATTTGTTGGCTGATTATTAAACTAGGCTGAAGAAATATTTCTTTGTTTGTTTTACAAACAAATATCCATTCGAGTACGCACCATACGCACATTCGTCTACAATTTTAAAACATACCTTCAAATATAGACGTTAATTTTAGTGGGTCACTGCTCTTCAACCACGCTCCAGCCAATTCCTGCGTTTACCCTTGAAGAATCGCAGTCTTGAGTCGCGCAGCTTCGTGCAAACCGCGCGTTAAGTAACATGTACTTCGCAAAATCAAAGGGAAATTAATTTTGATTTGCCCCAGCCTCCTACCCACAGGACAGGACCGCGTCAAACAATTCCCCACCCCATGGCCCGAAAAGCTAAACTTGTCCTAGGGGATGGTAACGGGTCAAATTGAATCGTGCATGAAACGAAAACAAAGCTGTTACTAAGTGACGTCTTTTATTTCCAAAAGTTACTCTTTCTTTCATTTATTTAATTCGGTAAATACTAAAACAACTATCCCCCTCAGGGTCGATGCAAAGCGCCTTCAACGACAGGAAGCTCAGTATTTTGGCGATAATGAAAAGATTATTAGATTCACTAGAGTGAAACCCCGCTAGTCTAAGGACAACAGCTTAATACGGACACCCGTTTATAATTAACAGTTTCCTTTGTCCCAACGAAATGGTCATATATTTCCCCTAAAATTAACCCGCTTATTACGGACAGCGGTTAATACGGACAACAGACGTTTTCTTGTGTCCCGAGTCACAAACTCCCATATAGAGCGATTTTCGTATGACCTTGAAAAATGGTTTCGGTAAGTGTTTGTTATTTGTTTTATCAGCCAAAGCATAAAAAGATCAAAACAGGGCCTCTTCGTTTTCCCGCCAAAGAAAACCTTAATATGGAGAAGGATAACTGCAAAAACCGTGTTCGAAGATCCTGCTAGTTGTAAACGTTGGATCTCTAGAAAAGAGATCTAGTCAGCCAAAATATAAAGAACCAAGAACGAGAAGTCCAAAGACTACTGCAATGCTGATTTAAAACAAAGTGTATTGTTTTTTATAAAAATATTTCGGCTGGCCATACCAGCCTTCTTCAGGTTTACAAATGTTACTGAACTTATGTAGCAATCACAATATTATAGAGATGGAGAATGTCGCAATAAAAAGGGAGAGGCGGAAATGAGGTACAACACAGAAATTGGAAAGGAAAAATACTAAGGAGATGGATTACAATAATTCGTCACGGTGGTTTAGGCCATGAGGCATGAAGCTTTTTCTTTTGAGCGTTTGCTTAACCAACTAAGAGCCACGCGCGTTTGTGTCTGTTCTATAAACCAATCAAATCGCTCTATTTCCGTTCGTTTGTTGTTTCTGTTTTGTTCGCGCGTTTTCATTTCAGGTCATACGAAAACCGCTCTATCGTCGAGTGAGCAGTAAAATAACTAACGAGCAAAAGCAGGCAAAAAAGATAAGCGGAGAGCATTTAAGCATCTTTTAAAATACCTCAATCCGCTCACTACCCCGCCCACTCACTGAAAAGCCATTTCTCCTGTCAAAATGTCAAATATGAAAACGTCAAAAGGTGCGTGGTACAGGAGGGTTTCGATTCACATGTTCGACATGTTTGTTAGACTCTGTACGCGCGAAACCAAATGATTGACATCACTGTTGAAGTAAACTGTGACAATTGTTGACCAATCATAGGGTATACCAAGAGCTGGTTCATCGGAATGAGGTATTGAAAACAATTCTTACAGGCTCCGCTACTCCGTCTCCCCCACGCGGTTTTCGCGCAACTTTTCTCGATCTGATTTCCTCGCTATCTTCGAGCTTGGAACAGGCTACAACTTGTTTTAAAATTGCAATTGCAAGGCTAGCACTCGTAAATCCAGAACCATACGAATGTCAAATCAAGTGTGTTCACCGAGGACGATGATAAGTTTTAATGTTTTCTAATGACATGAAAATTCTGCCGAACACTTTTCACGACTTTTTAAGGTGGAAACTGTCCTGGTCGACTACGGTGGGATCTGGCTACGGCAGTGTATTATTGCAAGAACTTCTGATCAGACTCACCAAACGACGGGGCCGACAAACTTCTTTTCAAGGGGCCTTTACGAGAACGTGACGGAACTGCACATAAACCCTCTGCGCCACTAATAAATGTGGCAGATTTTGTCATACGCTTATTCAGTTTCGTGTTATTGGACGAGAATTGCTCCTTCTTCAAATCCTCTGGAGGATCAGACACGTTAAAAGAATTACGTTTAGCATCCCAACTTTTCTTTGAGTTTTTGGGCGAGGATAAACGAAATATTGAGAAATATCCTTCAAGCCTTTGTGGGTGGACTGTGGGGACAACTGTTAAAATGGACGAGGGGTTGTTCTGCGGCCCGGGACTCTCAAAAGAGTTGCTGTGTGATCTGATTAGTGACGGAGCTGATACAGATCTTTTCTTCTAAGCACCACTTAATACTGTCACGTTGGCTAATTCGCATGACTCTGATCTTGACAAAAGGCGACGGCTGTACGCATTTGGTTGTTTTTGAGTACCTCCCATGGAAGAAAGATCCTTTGATCTGACATATTGCATGGGAAGGGCTGTTGGCTTAGTCTCTTGAGGTTTTCTGATGCACAAAATCTCGAGAATGATGTTTCTAAAGCGACGGTTCCTGTAGCAGTAAATTAGTGGATTCACTATAGAGTTCATTTGCAATAGTGTCTCTGCTGACCGGAAGACGGAACTCTTGCGAAAACGTGGGTACAAATCTCCCAACAAGCCAACAGTTACCGCGGGAACAAAGGAAAGAATCACAGCTGCTGAAGTCAATGCGCATGTCATAGCAACTCTGTTTTCAAGTTTTTTTTTCACCAGAACGGTGACTTTGGTAATCCGTTTACGTTTGCGCGTTTCACGATACACCATGATGTAAAAATAAGCGATTAGAATCACCATGAGAAATCCAACGATATCACAAATTATATCGTAGTAAATGCCCGGGGATTTTAGTGCAATGCTTGGAATTGGTGTTAACGCGGCTAAAAACCAAGCTGTTATGGCGAGCTTCTGGAGGCGGCTTCTTGTCATTTTCACTTTGTATTCATAACAATTCCGTATTGCCTGGTCCCTCTCCCAAGCGATAAGGATCAAATGGTATAGGTTACACGCCGCAAAAGCGTACATCAAGTAGACATTAATCAAGTCTACCAAGCAAATATGATCGTTAAAAACTTGCCTTGAAATAACAAAGTCAACAGTTGCTGAAAAAGGCATATTTATCGCACCTACCAAAACATCCGCAACAGCCATGCTCGACAACAAAATGTTTGGATTTTTTTGCAGCTCCTTTCTTGATCGCACTGCTGAGATAACCAAAATGTTCAAAATGACTGCAGCGGGAGAAGCAATAGATACGGTTGCGACCATTATCCAGGGGAAAACTTTGTCAGTTAGGTCCCACACAAAACTGGGATACTGTGGGCAAGAAAAAGCTAAACTGCTCTCGGACGAAAAGTTCATCGTTGCTTGTGTATGAACTCCCTGATAAACTGACTGTTACTGTTCGAGTTGGTAGACGATTTATCAATCTCGATTCCAATTATCCTTGATAGCCATCGATATAATGGGTGCTAATTTTAATCAAGAGTAAACAAAGTAAACAATCAGTTATATATTGTTTTAAACTAAACTGACTTTTGCAGGCGGTGGTACGATTAGTTTTCACAGAGTGGGAAAAAGAACGAAAACAAGAGGCGGAAAACAGTTTTATCGAGGACAAAAACGAACCATATGTTGAATCTCATTTCTTTCGCAAAGCCAGGAAGTATCTTTATAGTTTTCCGTTCTTTTGCAGGGAATCGGCTGAGGGAGGTGGGGCTGGGGGCTTTTGCCCCCCATGCTTTTTTAAAGGGGTCTTTAAGAACGACTTTCCAACCTGTAGAGTATCAACATGATTTTAAGGAACAAGGGGTGGCACAGAGCACTCGCCTCCGACCAATGCGGCCCTGGTTTAAATCCTGGCGTCGATGCCATATGTAGGTTGAGTTTGTTGTTAGTTCTCTTCCTTTTCTCCGGGTACTCTGGTTTTCCCCTCTCCATAAAAACCAAAATGTCCAATTACAATTCGATCTGGAACGCACGGACATGTTTCAAGAGTTCTTAAGAATTCCTTAGTTTTCCGTTGGCAAACAAATTACAAATTACAGGAACACCAAAGTTCTGATTTTAAAAGATATGTAAAATACTCTTAAAAGGACAATGTTCTAGATACATATGTACCCACTTTAGGAGAAGCAAATCTCAAAGTTTACCGGGCGAACATGCCCCCGTCCCCCATAGTATGTACTCGGGTTTGTGATCCCAACGGCCCCCCGGAGAATGCTCGCACTTGCGTTTCGGGTAGTCTTCTCCATCACCAAAAATAACATTCACCAGACTTAAAAAAGAAACTTAAACTTCAATTTGACTTCATTTGCTTTACTTCACTGTACAACTGATGAAAAACAAGTTCACCGAAAGGCGAATGAGTTCATTAAAATAAATCTAAAAAAGCTCAAAGGTTATTTCAAGGTTCATTTACGGCAGGATAGGCTCTGGTGCGGAAACAATTAGCAGTTCCTGAAGAAATCTGTTTGTTTATACGTTTAAGTTTAATAAGACACTCGAAGAAAAAAGGAGTATTTGCATACGCTGAATATTACGTAATGAATGTCAATAGTGCAAAACCAGCCATCAAGGTCATAACCTGCGAATAGAGCTTTCTCTCCTCGCTCCTCGAGGGACGTCCCTAGCAGTGAGGAGCGAGGAGAGAAAGCTGTATTCGCAGGCTACCAAGATCAGAGAGGAAACTTAAACTCGGCGTTTTTTCTCTTAATTTACGAGATGAATGAGAAGTTCTCTTCCATTGTTTTTTCTTTCGCATAAGAGAACTTTTTGAGAAACCACCATCTAAAACCAATGCGAGCTAAAATGGAAGAACAGAAGAAATGAATTAAAACCTACGTGTTTTTTAATATTTGTCAAAAGTCTAACTAAATTCAGAAATTGCTGGTGCTTAGCTTCCAATGTGTTTCAAAGTGTTTGCACGGTAAATCACGTGTAAATATGGGATTCCCTCAAAAATTTATGTTGTGGTTTTACTTAATCCTTGGCTAAAGTCATATTGTCCTTAGTTTTTTGGGGGGTATAATGATGTATGATAAAGAGTGTGAAGCAGTTTTGAAAATAAAATTTGAATTAAGGATGAAATTAAACCACAACATATAAGCAATCACACAAGGTCACACAGCGTTGTCATACCAAAATGAAAACGCGAAACAAAGAAAAAGAAAAGAAAGAAATACTTCTTTTCAAATTTTAAATTGAATTCCATATGAACCTGCGAGCTCACTGTATCTGGTGGAACTTGTCACTGACAGTGGCGGATCCAGACTTAATATCTTAACGTTGACTAATTCGCATGACGTTGATCTTGAAAAAAGGCGACGACTGTGTGCATTTGGTCGCTCTAGAGTACCCTCCACTGAGAAACGAGTTGATCTGACATATTGCACCATGGGAACCACTGTTGGAAGTTTTCTGACGTATGAAATCTCGAGAACATGTTTCTAAAGCAACGGTTTGCGTGGCAGTAAATAAGTGGATTCACTATAGAGTTCAGTTGCAAAAGTGTCTCTGCTGACCGAAAGACGGAACTCTGGCAAAAAAACGCATAAAACACTCGTGCGGTCTTCTCTAAACTTCCAAATATTACGTAACACAACTAGAATCTACTAAACGTAAACAGATGTTCAGATCCATAACATAAGTATTGCGGAGGCGGGGCGAAAACAAAGAGGATATCAAAGTTTATGTCCAAATCTTTTCAATTTGAAAGCGTCGAATAGATCTTATATTTTGTTTCTCCAATGTAGAACAAGTGAGGAGATTTTTAAAACCCTTTGTCCCGGGGGGGGGGGGGGACACTCCCTAAAATGACCTATACGGGAATACCCCGCCCAAAAATTAAAGGGGTACCGTTTTCAGGCCCCAGCTATATGAAAGGGAAGGGATTTCACTTGTTGAACTATATGAAAGTGTAGGGAAATCTGTCATTTGGTTCGGTAAAAAGGCCCAAAACGAGTAACAGATGCATCAGTTTTATGACTGTGAGAAAGTCGAGAAAACGTTCCTGTTTTTGAGATTTATTTAGACAGAGCATTTATAGCAGTTTAAAGGGATGGACAGTTCTAAGCGGGTACGAGGTTGGACCTCGGGGAGGAGCCTCCCGGTATAAAACTTTTTGAGTACCACCGGGTCCTTTGTCTTTTTGGAAATCAAGGAGGCAACTCTTTAACCATTGACTCAAAAGATGATTTCCGCACAGTTTGCCGAACCGTCAGTCACTGTCAAGAATAACAGACTTATTTAGTACTTCATTCACCCGCAGGATCATATACAACTTTCTTATGACATGATTCTCCTAGGTTCAATCATCTACTTTAATGAGCTTTATTTTGAAAGAAAGTGTATACTCCTTTATTTGAGTACCGTCACATGACATCCAATGGGCACAAAATATACAAGGAAAATAAGCCTAACCTGGTCTATTGTAACGGCAACAACATATTTCTATAGCAACCTCATAATTAATACAAAATTAGAAAACAAAATGACCGGTGTAAGAAACCGTCCTAGTAGATTCATTGCATTAATTTTTTTTGTCAAGCTTAGATTGGACTTAGCTACCTTACAACAAACAAGGCAAAATCCACCCCGTCAATGCCTTTTTTTGTTTTTCATTAAAAGGATAATTTATCATTGCACAAACTTTGGACCTAATTCTCTCTTCATTTACAATATTAAATTTAATACTACGTTCTGAAGTTCACTCTATGGATTCAGTCTATAAATCTACCTCTTTCACAAAGGTGGAATTAATTTTCCACTCACGGACGTCCTTAGCCAGTCCCACTACGCTTGTGGATAGAGTTCGAATATTATCACTAGTAAAATTCAAACACTTCGTAATCATCGACGGTAAAATCTTTAGTACCCGTGAAGAACAAATCTCCTTGTTTTCCTCCAGGGACGACTATAACTTGATCTAGATGACTGAGCATTATTTGAAATGTGTAGGTATTTTTCTGACCAATAGTCTTGTCCAAACGATGGCCCAAGCGACTTTTTACAGGCAATAACACAGCCGCTCTCCTTCTCGTCTGCGGGTATTCGAACAGGCTCCGTCCCAAATGGATTGACCAAACTGAATAGAAATGCCTGTTTGGATTCAATAACTTCCATACGCACACCTTGAGGAGAAAATTAAATATTTTTTACAAACTTTTAACTGACCCTGTTGTCACTATATATTTGGCCGAATACATGCAGCAAAGTTTAATAAACGTTCATTCAAAACTATCCGGTCCCAATTAAGGGGGGTTGAAGTATTTATCATCTTAATGATTATAGTTCCCGTTATCCCTAAATCCACCATTTTTGGCTATCCCTAGGATTTATTTTTAAAAACATCTATCTTAAAAATATTTTGGCCGGTTATACCTTACTCCCGCTAAAACCCCAAACAGGGCCTCTATAAAAACCTGGTGACTGTGCACTAATTCAGACGAGTACTGATCTGCTGATGTGACTCAAGTTATATTTAAAACTGACCTTCAATCCACCCTCTCGTCATGTCGCGTATAAATTTGGTCTTGAAACACGACTTTAGAACGTTACTAACTGAATGTCTGCCTGAGTGAAGAATGAATTCACAAAAATCACTTTTCACTAGTTCGTGCGGCGTTATTCCCACGTATAACGTATAAGTATCCAAAAGTGTGTGGCTATTTATCAACATTAAATTTTCATTGCCAGCTTGGCTTAAGGTCTTGGTAAATGAAAATTTTAGTACATTCTTCGATTTCGTTTTTTTTTTATTTTTGGCATGAGTGGGTCCTAAATTTTATTTTGGCAGAAAAAGAAAATCAGAAAGTGCTTTTTAACCCTCCTAAAATGAGCCTTTTCTGAGCTAACCAGCCAAGCGTGGACCTCGCGCTAAATCTTTAGAGCGGATTTTCTCTCACTCTATTTTAGACGCAAAAATCAAACTTCTCCGACCTCCAGTCGGAACAGGTTTTAAGCTATCGCTTTTAAACTTTCAGATATGATGGATAATGATATAGACTCAAAACGGGTGTGAGGAATTTTCCGATTTCCCTTTGTAACTCATTTTATCTCAGTTTCTTTGCGTAAATCGCGCTCGAGATTCGACTTTTTAGTTTGAAATGTAACAATTCCGTTAATACGAGACATATGCAAATTTCCTCACACCCTTTTTTAGGTCTTTTATCTGTCAATCAGACGCAATAATTAAAAAGGAAGTGAATATTTAACAACGCGAAAGGGCTGGAGCTTCAGCAGTAAACTCGATACCTCTGAGTTGTGGGGGGGACTGAGTTCGAGAGCAAAAAACATAAGCGCCTTTTAAAATTCGATGAAATAAAATCTTTAATAAGGTAATTTAGTCTTTACCTTTAATTTGATATATAACTTGCCTTTGTAGCGAAAATACTCGCGCGACTAGAATTTTTTTCTGTGGGCACCTCGTTTTCCTTTACCGAGACCTTAACTTCGATTATAAAGGAAATCGATTCTTGGTTCACTGAAGTGGACCGCGGTAAGAGTTAATAAGGCCACTTTAAAACTCCATCCTGCTAGACCTCGACTAACAATTACAGTTATTTACTATTCAAGAAGACAACGTAATTTTACTTACGCGGACTCCTCCATGCTGCTTCAGTAAATCCGCCAAATATGAAGTTTCCACTTTTCACAACCGTTACTGTTGGACCTTTGTAGTCGCATTTTAAGTGGAACGATTCTGCCTCGAAGCCGTCTCGAGAAGCTCTGTACAGAAGTCGCCAGTCGCCAGTTTTGTAAGGTAGCATACCCGACAAGATCATGTCAAGTTCTCGACTCAGGATCTTAGAATCTGAAAATAACCTGGTGGCTAGCGCTGTGGCTCCTTGGATCGAACTCTTCTGACTCTGCGCGGATCTGGGTTTACTTAACTCGTCGATAATTCCTTGTATCTGGTAATAAGTGGCTTCTGTCTCGATTTCCTCCAGATCTGTGCACGTGGCTTCTTCTGGTAAAGATAACTTCCCATCACGCAGGTAGTTAAGTATATGACGGAAGTGTTTTCCATCTCGATCGATTTCAATCGTCTGAATCGCACCATCTTCAGAACGCTTTAATGAAAACCTCCCCGAAAACATAGCAGCAAAGTACGAGTTTGGGTCCTTTGTTAGCGTTTGGCGAGTTGTGGTGAAATGCTGGCCACCAACGTTGAGGTTGACCGTCTCAGAAATCTGCGTACTTTCTATTTTCTTGGACATTCGATCGAATGTTTCCCGCTCGTTATGAAGCTTGTCTGCTTCTTGTTGCAGTTGTTTACAAGCCTCACTAATTGCAGCTGTAGCTGCGTTGATTTGTCTTTCGACGTTAGCAAGGATTTGCGCCTGAGACAATGCCTCTTCTTCCTGACTTCTGTCATTCATTTTAGAAATGACCTGCCTCGGAAAGAGCTCGATCAACTTCGAATCAGTTCTGGCGGCAGAGAACACTTCTCTGTTTTATGAAAGGTAGGGGTCTGATTGTTACTTGAATCTTGAATGCCGTATTAAATTACGTGGCCAAGCCTGTTAGTTATCGGAAATGTTTTAAATTGGTCCAAAAACGGAAAATACAAGGGTCTTGACAAACTGCGAGCCAGTGAGTCATGCGAGTCAAGCGAGCGAGTCATGCCAGTCATGCGAGTCATCATGTGAGCGTGAGCCATGCGAGACAAATGTTAGTTCCTGTCTTAGTATGTGCTGCATAACAAAAATGCCAAGAAATTCATTTATTATTCCTTTTTCTCCATCTCAAATGACATTGCATTTGGATCCAGATTTAACGCAAGAACAGATACTTTGATTAAATACCACTTGTACTTCTTGAGATATCGTTTGTTACCGGTTCATAGTCTAATTCAGTGTCCAAATGCATATATTCGGTAAAACACACTTTGGATAGAGCGAAGTCAACATGCATAAACCCAGTCTGCGTTCGACCCCCCCCCCCCCAAAAAAAAGTAATTAAAAAAGCTATTTAGAGCCACTGTATTAAAGGGGGTGAAACTTAACTACAGTTTACGAGTCGTTGCTAGGGACATTATTTCGTGGTTATTATTTCTCACGTGTCTTAAACCGCTAACATGGTGGGAACCGTGAAACTGAACATAAGACAACACTAAATGGACACTATACTTGCGCAACTAGTGCCAGTCCCCAATCCCGCTTTAGAAATGAAAAAGCGCAAAAGTTCAAAGGAAAGAGAATCCATTTTTTTGGCGAGTCATAAGCAATTTAACTTTTTTTTAACATCTGTAGCATGAAATTAGCGTTCAGACGAAAGCAAGAAAGCCTGTTAAAGAAAATGTATGAAAATACCCCTCAATGACGTCATAGCTTTTTCGATAAATGTGAATTTTGAGAAGGAACGTTAAACTTGTTAGTAAGTCAGATTTTTTATTGCGATATTCTTAAGCCATTGGCATTGGTTTTATTGTGAAAGATGCAAGACGTTTGTGTTTTAAAGAGTGGTTGTTTTTTTTATGTTCTGGTCACGTGCCTTACCACATATGGAGTGACTCGTTAAACGTGACCGAGGAAGAACTTTACACCTTTGTTTAACGAATTCTCAAACCTTTGTTATTGTTTCACCTCGTTCAATTTGTATGTTGGCGAATTTTTCTGAAGCTGAATTTTAAAGGGCGTGCCTTTGGAATAAATAGGTTACTTAGCTACAGAGGCTAGTTTTTTTGTACTTTACGTTAAAAAAAAAGTTATTTTATGCTGACTCGCATGGCTCGCTTGTTGACTCGCATGGCTCGCATGTTGACTCGCATGACTCGCTGGCTCGCATATTATACAGAATTATAATCACGACTAGGGACACATGCAAGTATAACTGATTCTTTCTGTTTACAAGACGATGGAAAGATCCTAGCATCAGGAAGGTCACGACTGTTCCTTTTGTTTACATGCAAGCCATTTCGGTAAGCCTTTCAAAGAACCAAACTGATGTTACTAGTTTTTTGCGGGCGGCTTCATGTCATTTTCGCTTTGAGTTCATAACATTTCCTCGCCCAAGGGATAAAGGTTAACGAAACTTAAACGGTGAAGGGTATAGCTGTTAAAGCGTACATCAAGAAGACATTAACTGAAGAAGTCCACGAAGCAAATGTGATCATTAAAAACTTGCAAGGAAATTACGAAGTCAACAATGGCTGATTAAGGCATACATGTTTATAGCACCTACCGCTTTTAACCAAATACTTGGTCCCGGGAGCGTAGAAATTAGCGGTGTTTTAACACCAGACCAAAGTTAAATTCCTCGCTAAGTCCCGGGGGTTGGGTGGCGAGGTGTGGGGGAGAAGTTTTAATTGACTGATGCATTTAAAAGCCGCTTATACACACAAATACTGGTGTTATTGTCGGCGTCCGTTTGCCAACATAATTTTACAAAGCAATTTCAATGGTAAGAAGCTTCGCAGTATTTTGGGAACATGAAAAGATAGTTGGATTAAATAATTCTTATATACATTCTTAGCCATGTTTCCACTTAATGATAAATAAAGTTTCACCAAGAGAAGATAAAAAGGTCACCCTGCCTGGGTTCCAATAAATAAAACAAAAAAACTCCTCAGACGTTTGACGGTGCTGGAAGCCTGGCCCTAGTCTCTCCTAAAGTAACCTCATTCTCAGGATCTTTCCTCTTACAGTCCCTATGAGAGCCTGTGAGAGAGGGGTTGTCTGCTAATCTCACACTTACCTGAATAAGCCCTCAAAGTAAAATAACCCCCACCCCCTAGCGTGCGTAGCAGGCGTCCAGAAGGATAGTGGATTTTGAGGAAAGGTTTGGGTACGGGTAAGGGCAGGAGCCCATCAAATGGAGCCTCCATCTCCCATACAAGCCCTTGGAGTCAACCCTTTCCCGAGTAGATTTATAATTAGAACGGTTCCCAGGGGAGATTTCGCGCGCCGACGGTGGGAAGAGCCAATCACAACGACTAAATGACACTGCTATTGTACTTCATGAAACAGCTGGAAATCCGGTGCTGACAGGCCAAACAAAATCATAAGCTAGTGAAACGTGACATTAGCGTTTTCATCCCTCAGAGATTTTCTTTCTTTTCTTTCTAGCGGGTAGATTATACTGTGGAGAGTTTTAAACTCTGACTATATGTTAATCTTAATTTTGGTTGCTTGTCTCACATTAATTTATAAGAGGCCGTGAAGCTGGTCTGTTACATGCGTAATGATTAACTACTACCTGCAGTCTGTAGTTCTGACAGGATTCGTTTTCTTTAGCCAATTTTTTTGAGCGTTAAGGTTCTTATTTCGGCTAAATGACTCAATATTAACCAAATTTCTAGTTTTTCAAGTTTTTCTCCGAAATGCGTTTGTCTGAATAAATACTATACTGTGGTTGTTTTGTCCGTCAGTTAGTGTGATGATTCCCTGCTATGTTTTGTAACGCCGAGCCCAGCCATTGTTTTCTCGCAAAACAGTGATCTACAGATGCGAATTCGAAGGAAAGAATTGGCCTAAACTTCTACATTAATTGCTGAGAATTCTTCTGTTAGTCAGTCATATTTCTTTGGGCGCAGATACAATCCATTTTGTTTTTCTTGAGATAAGTGGGTCTTTGGACTGGAGCGCGATGTCACAAATTCCACCGTTAGCAAATTACTTTTGAGTTAGCTTCACAGTCGAGCAACTGTTGTCTTCTGTTCCACATTTTCAAGTACCAGTTTTATCAGGCAACTCTCATGGTGATACAATTCAGTTGTAAAGGAAGACTGCAATTTTTCTGAAGCATTCCTCCTTGGTTGCTACTTAGGTCATCGCTTTTGCAAATCCACTCCACGGCGATAACAAAAATCAAATGATCCTGGCACTTTTTCGGCGCTGATCATCGAAGAGTTTCAAATCGTCCACAGAACGCTTAATCGTCGACTCTTTTCAAGGTGCATGCTTAAATGTGGAATGTACGACGGCAAAAAAAAAAAAACAAACACTCGCAAAGAACCTTTCCGTGATCCTCAGTTCGCTGCCGTTGTCCCATCGCTTCATGCTCAGTCTCAGTCGGGTAATTCATTAACTTTTATTTCATCCCAGATCCCAGCGGCTGTAAAACTGTAAAAATGGACGTATAGTAGAAAAGGAAAACGGTCGAAAGACGGGCTTCTGAGTTCGACTTCATCCAACTTAATAATTTCACGGTGGCATACGAGACTCACGGAAATATGACGCTTTTCGCGGGAAACAAGCCGTTCTATTTATAAATCTACTCGGGAAAGGGTTGACTCAAGAAATTAATGGAGATGGAGGCTCCATTTGATGGGCTCCTGGTAAGGGTTAGTTTCCTCTGCTCGAGTTGTTTGAAACTGCTGAAGCTTTAAGTCATTCTTAAGCAGTCAAAATTTTATAGTTAAAGACAACTGCGAACTTCTCCAAAAAAAAGAAAAATCCATTAAAATTCATGGGGTCTCTGGCATCTAATAGGCAAATATTTGCTGACGTCATCATTTTGCTTTATTTTCATAGTTTATATAGAAAGTATCATACAAAATAAAAACTGACTTAAACTAACTGATTGAAGGACTTGTTAAACTAAGTAAACTGTGAGAAATTAGGCATTTTGTATGAAATACCAGAGACGGCGGAGCAGGGGAGGGCTGCCCCCTACTTTTTCCGGAAAAAGAAAGACTTATTGGATCAATTTAGGTTTCTGGGAAACTGCCCACCTACCCCTCCCCTAAGCTAACTTACTTCTCACTTAGGGCAAAATGATGGCTTAGGGGAGGGGTAGGTGGGCAGTTTCCCAGAAACCTAAATTGCTCCGACTTATTAAGATCGAGGGGCGTCTCCTTAACCTCCTCACCTCGCCCTTCAAGTAATTATAATATTTGATATATAGGAGAATTATAGCTTATTCATCTATTCACAGTTGCTCGTATTTTTTTTCTTTAAAAACAGCTTTTATTATTTTCAGATAACACGAAACGATCGTGCTAAGACTACAGCTGATTCAACTTCTAAATATGGAATTGGACTTGATCTTAACATCTAATTGTTTAATCAAAAATATGCATAATTAGCCTCCTAGCGTCCAAGGGGGCAAACAAGTGATAAAATTTGCCTATACGAGTAATCGCGGTTGAGTTTGTTTATTCTCTCTAAACAGAGGACGATTTTAGTCTTGGAAAATGTACTGTTCGAGTTTCGAAAAGTTCTGCGTCATTATTACTTGTTGTTAGCACATCATACGGTTGCTACTGCGTCCAAAAAGTAACAATGATAACTTCCATCCATAATTTTCCATTATCGTCTTTATGATAACAAGAACCCCATCACGGGGATACATTGGTCTGGCGGCGAACATGACAACTTGTTAGTCAGTTAGTCGGGGCTGCATTATTATAGCTTATTCATCTATTCACAGTTGCTCGTATTTTTTTTTCTGTAAAAACAGCTTTTATTATTTTCAGATAACACGAAACGATCGTGCTAAGACTACAGCTGATTCAACTTCTAAATATGGAATTGGACTTGATCTTAACATCTAATTGTTTAATCAAAAATATGCATAATTAGCCTCCTAGCGTCCAAATTGGTAAATGCATTCATTGTTTATCAGAGATAAATGAACGAAAGCAAAACGAAGGTGTTCAAAGACGACGCTGACTCGTCACTTTATGGACTGAGCCTTCATGAGCCCTCTGACAATTTTCACGACTTTTAAAGGTGACGGGAGTCCAAGCTTTCGTCGCAGGCTGCAGGAGCCTCCCTCTGCAGTGTGTCATTGCGGAAACTGCTGATCTCACGTAACGCTGGGGCCGACATACTTCTTTTCAAGAAACCTTTACGAGATCGCAACGAAATTCCATGCGAGCATGCGCCCTTTCCGTTTGCGGTGGATCTTTCCAGATGGTAATCTTGTACCCAGATCTCACTCTGTCGTACTCTGGCCGTGGGAGATCTGGGTAGGAGATAAGGCAGATGGTTACTCAATTTTCTGTTATTGAACTGGTATCGTTTCTTTATCAAATCTCCAGCAGGATTAGACAGATTAAAATGATTACGTTTAGCTTCCCACCTTTTCGTTAACGATGAAGGATGAAATATTGGCAAACTTTTACGATGTCTTTCGCGCCTTTGAGGATGGACTGTCGCAACAACTGTTAAAATGGAAAAGGGATTCTGCGGCTGAGAACTGCCAAAAGAGTTGCTGTGTAATCTGATCATTGAAGGAGCCGATACAGGTCTTTTCTTCATTGCACGATTTAATTCTATCACGTTGGCTAATTCGCATGACGCTGATCTTGACAAAAGGTGATGGCTGTTCACATTTGGATGTTTTTGAATACCTTTCTTTGAAAAAGGATCTTTTGATCTGACATATTGCATGGGAGCAACTTTTGACTTGGCTACGTGGGGTTTTCTAATGCATAAAATCTCAAGAACGATGTTTCTAAAGCGATGGTTTCTGTAGAAGTAAATTAGTGGATTTACTATAGAGTTCATTTGCAGAAGTGTCTCTGCTGACCGGGAGACGGAACTCTTGCGAAGGCCTGGGTACAATTCTCCCATCAAACCAACAGTTACCAAGGGAACAAAGGAAAGAACCACAGCCGTCGAAACCAATGCACACGTGATAGCAACTGCATTTTCGAGTTTTGTTTTCACCATAACAGTAACTTGGGTGATGATCTGTTTAGCTTTGCGGGCTTCACGATATACCACGATGTAAAAGTAGGCGATCAAAATTAACGCGAAAAATGCAGCAATAGCCACAACAATGAAATCATGTTTGATGCTTAGGGCTGTTAGTAAAATACCTGAAACTTGTGTAAACGCGGCTAAGAACCAAGCTGTTATTGCGAGTTTCTTGGGGTGGCTTCTTGTAAGTTTTGCCTTGTTCTCATAACAATTCCGTATCGCCTGGTACCTCTCCCAAGCGATAAAAGTCAAGTGGTATAGAGTACAAGCCGTTAACGTGTACATCAAGTAGACATTAACCAAATCTACCGTGCAAATGTGATCATTAAAAACTTGCCGGGAAATAACGAAGTCAACAGTGGCTGATAAAGGCATGTTTATAGCACCTACCAAAATGTCCGCAGCAGCCATGCTCGATAACAAAATGTTGGAGTGTTTTTGCAGTTCTTTTCTTGATCTCACTCCTGCGATAACCAAAATGTTCAAAATGACTGCAGCAGGAGATGCGATACATACGATTGCGACCATTACCCAGGGCAAAATTTTGTCAGTCGGGTCCCGCACAAAGTTTGGATTATGTGGACAAGAAAAAACATTCACTCGAAAAATTCACTCGAAAAATCCGCGAAGCTCTGTCAAAGCTCTTACTGCGTGACGTCTTTTATTTACAAAAATTACTTCTTTATTATTCAACTAATTCGGTAAATAAAAAACAAGGACCATTCCCCTCAGGGTCGGTGCATAGCACTATAGATGCTGCGTCTGACACTTCAAGTCTCTTGATATATACTGGTGATCTCCCATTCGGGAGATAGTTATCATGATATTATAATTATTATTCATTCAAAAGATTTCTCCGTTTTTGATTGGCTTTGATTTTCATAACCACCTGGCAGACCTTTACAAGATATCCGCCATCTTTGCACGCTCTTTAGGATTGATGGGATAAAAGCAACGTCAGGTGGCATTTCAGGGGGCAAACAAGTGATAAAATTTGCCGATACGAGTAATCGCGGTTGAGTTTGTTTATTCTCTCTAAACAGAGGACGATTTTAGTCTTGGAAAATGTACTGTTCGAGTTTCAAAAAGTTCTGCGTCATTATTACTTGTTGTTAGCACATCATACGGTTGCTACGGCGTCCAAAAAGTAACAATGATAACTTCCATCCATAATTTTCCATTATCGTCTTTATGATAACAAGAACCCCATTACGGGGATACATTGGTCTGGCGGCGAACATGACAACTTGTTAATCAGTTAGTCGGGGCTGCATTGCAACTTCTACCAGTGAACAAAAATAGGCAAGTTTGCCTTTTGAAACAAGAAACGATTGGCACGAGAGAGAATTATGTACCTCATTCTCTTTTATTACCATTATTTTTGACTGGAACATTTCCACGACGCACCCCTTTCCCCAATCCCCCCACAGCATGAAAATGGAGATTTACGCAGAATTAAAGTTTGCGTAAACCTGCGTAAAGTTGGTCATCCAACTTTACGCAAACTTTCCACGGCGCGTAAAGGTTTGTAAAGGTAAATTTACGCGCTCGGCTCTTAAAGTTTTCGTAAAGCTAGCATAAAGTTGTTGTAACAGCTTTACGCTCATTTACGCTACATGTAAAGGTTTAGTAAGGTTGTCATACAATGCTACCTTCCTAATGAAGAATTTATTCCCGGCACTGTTTTTAGTAAGTCGTTTGTTTCCTGACACTAGTTCGCATAGTTTTTTTGATCACTCAAGACATTTGGTGTTCGATGTTGGTGTGCGATGTAAACAAGCCAACCACGCAAATTGTTTTTTTTTGGCGGTGCAAACGACTTCGTACCCGTTCAAAAATGACGCTGAAAAGAAAATCCTGCCAGCAGAGTTCATGCAAAGATATAACTTGCGACTGTGCGGCAATTTTCGAAAAACGGCATATCTGTCGCGGCAAACACAATACCCTTCAATACTCAGTAGTATTGCCTCAATGATTTCAGTTAGTACAGTATAACCGTGTTTGATAGTACAGTTTGTTGCAGTTTTAAGCTCACCAAATTCCAGAAAAAATTGAGGTAGTATCATGTTATATTGAGTCGAACCTCGGAACTAACGGCCACCTCTTCCTTAACGGTCACCTCTCTACACGGGCCATTTTTTTTTTTTTTGACGGACGGTCCATACATGACATACATTCACTCTTCTTTTAACCTCTCTACAATGGCCACTTTCTTCGATGTCCCTAAGGTGGCCGTTGTAGAGAGTTTCAACTGTAATTTGATCAAATTGAAATAATTGGAAAAATAAAGAAAAAATATCGCCGCGCAAAATCGGCGAGTTTTACTTAGAGAAAGAACGCATTACTTAGAGTGAAAGAACGCATTCACAAATTACTCTGACTATTTTACATTCAACGGAGTACTGGCTTCATTGTTGAATCTCCTTTATCACTTCCTTATTTTAAGTCCGCGGACTTCAGTTTTGGGAACGGGCAATTTATTGAAAGAAAGGGGCCTGGAAACAATACAGTGAAGGGACAGCTGGTCAGCGGGCTTGTTCCTTTGCACATGCTCAATCGGGTTCGTTGATTTGGCGTCCATTTTGAAAGTGTCAAACGGTTTCAAACTTGCTTCTTTGGAAGTTTGGAGATCGTTCATACATAATTATGCTTCTTGATAGCATCACAGGACATCTTAAGGTTGTTAGAAATTATTATTGCACTATCAGCCTTTAGTAATCGATCACTTGTCAAGTGTAAAGCAACCCTTTCGGGACGAGATGGAGACAGAAACATCGTGTGAAGCGCAAGCATTAACACTGGAATGTTCACAACACAGACCAAGACTGTATTACTAAGGCTCTTCGACACTCAAGATTTCACTGAAAAGAGCAGAAAGTAAGGCAAGGTAAGTTGTCCTGGCTCCCCTTTTCTCTAACGTTTTAAGCTTAATTCCAAACTTGTTTATGATGAGTTCCAATGACTGTGTCAAGTATTCAGTAACTAACATTTCAGTGAGTAATGAAACCAGCATTAACCGTTTAAAGTAAATTATAACTAAACAGGTGTATTTATTTGGCATAACCTTTCAATACTAAACAAGCAACGAGACCATGACGATGAAGATGATAATGTAAAATTATGTAAAGACTTTAGGGGTCTGAAGGAGTGGAGTTTCCTTGTTTTGTACTCACAGGAAATGGCATAGTCAAATAACCAATTGTAATTTCAGTAATGATTTGATGTGTTTGAGGAATCATAACCTTGGTTTGCCCAGGCTTCACCAAGTCATCATATCATTTTGTCAGGCACAGGAATCATAACCCTGGTTTTTAAAGGCTTTATGAAATCATTTGAGGAATCATAACCTGTGTTGTCATAGCTAAGAATCATAACCACGATGTTGCAAGACTTATTAAATCATTTGAGGAATCATAACCCCCACTATCGCATTGTTAAAATCAAAGTATCACTCATTGTAGCTTGAGAGTATACTGTCAGTGGAATCATACCCCCTCCCCCAAATTAAAGAATTTCCCAAATCCTTTCATTTCAGATATGTGAATATACAGGAAATCATCGCAATGATTTTTGCTTTTGTTTATTTGGGTCTTAAAATTATGTTCAGATACATTTTTTTTTTCAAACATTTCCCTTTTTAATAACAATTTGAAAAATGCTTGGTGAACTGAAGTAACATAAGCAAAATTCCAGAGTCTCCCCACAAATTGCACTGTGAAGTGTGCGGATCAAAAATAATCCAATATGGAAAAATAACAATACACAAGGAATCAGTGTAGATAACAGCTGTCCGAGAAAACGTAAGTTTAATGGCGATGTTATATATACAAAACAATGTTGTCTGAATGTTAATAAAAGATAATCAAGTTCGTGTTTAAATTAATAAACATTAATAGACCAGTGAAATCCAATTAATAATGAACAAATATCAATAAACAATGTAAAATAACAAATTTGTTTTATGCTGCAATGCGCCAAATTGCGCGATTGTGGCAATCCTTACTATTGTGTGACAATGTTTGCGTTAATTGATTTGACTCAAGTTGAAAAATTTTTGGTCGACCAAAGGGGAGAAATTGCTCCTTCGAGAATGGATTTTTGACGAAATATACATGGAAGTGCAAAATCCAGAAGAACTTATGAAAGTGTTACACAAATGTACTTGATAATCCTTCTGCTAAAAGCCAGTTGAATTCATTTGTTGAGCAAGCAATTATATCATGTCAGAATTAGAGAATTAAATAGGAGATCAAAACATATTCCCCTTGGACATCCTCTTTTTAGACTAGTGAAATCCAGTATTTACTCCTTAAGCCTGACAATATCAATAAACAAATTCTGTGAGACTGATCATGATATCCCATACATCTCATTATAGAAAATTTGATAGAGGATCAAAACTTATTCCCTTCGGAGATGACTATTTCTATGAAAGTTCTCAGAACCTTCTCTCTTGATGACATATTGATATTGCCAGTAGGAACTGATTGACATTCAGGGTCACTATTAGGAATTCTAAGGTTCAATACTTATATACATGTATATTATAAATTATAACCACTTCTCTCCCAGAATGGCATGCAATTGTCAAAAGTATCTGACAAGATTTTTAAATTTCATTCTGTAAAGTGCTAAAAAACCAGATAGCGCTAGAGTTATGCCAAAGAGGTTTCATTTGAATGGTCATACCACAGAATTTCATCAGCAGATTTTAAATCTATACAAGTACAAGAGTCATTATTCATTCTGGGAATGAAGAGATAATTAATACATCATTCTGTTGTTGATCTACTGGTTTGTGTCAGTGACCTATACTAGCTGGAACACTACACTTTGTGTTTTAAATTTCAATATTTTGCGTCAGCCTAAAATATTAAGATTAGCTGGACTTTTGGGCTGCTATTCAAGGAACCTGAGTGATGCGGGAATTCAAATCCCATATAAAATGACATGATGCTCAGTATATAACAAATTAGAGTGAAATCCCTAAAAGAGGACAATGCGGGTTTGATTCAGGCTTGAATTGAATCCTTACAGAGACTTATAATAAACTCCAACACATTTCATCAAATTATATAGACATAATTAATTTCTTTACCCACAACATCAAGCAGTGCCTGTATGGGTAAAAATATTGGTTATTTGTCCTAAACACCCTTATGCGGTGCGATCAAAGCCAGGGTTATCTCCTACCTGTCCCAGATTCTGGGATATACATGACCAGACCTGCCAGGGTCTCTCGACGGGTAGGAGAGAAAACCTGGGAACGAGATTGGATCAAAACCTGTAAATCCAACACCTAAATAATCAAGCATCCCTATCAATTTTATTATGGGAGTCCACACTCATCCACAAGGATAAATCCTTTTATTGGAATTAGGACTGCAGATAGACCATAAAAGTCAGTAATTTTTCACTGTGTTTGAATTTCATGTCTAATTAGGCACTCTGTTTATCCACAAAAGAATTCAAAGGCTAATATTGCTTCCTAATTAATCTCCTAGGATGTTCGTACAATCAACCATTTGATTGCACTATGGGACAATTCCAAAACATTGAATCATTTGAGATTTTACTGATTGTATTAAGAGAAACAGCACAGTCTTTTAAAGACAACCAAAGAATAATTTAGACCGAACCTTTCAAATAAGATCCTTTAATGGACCAAAAAATGTCTATTTTAATATTGCCAGACCTGCCAACTCTCACAATTCTGGCTTCAAAGACTCTCATGATTTTTCACTTGTCTCATGGCCCCACAACAAGACTCCCAATCTCATGTTTTTTGGGGGAGATATCTTTCTGAAATGAAATGTTACCTTGTTGAATATAAAACAGAAATTCTGTGGGGATGCTAGTGCCAGTGTTTAACCTTAATGGGGCTTTGTAAGAATTGGCAGGTCTGTATTGCTATCTCTTACACATGTAGCCTCACTTACACTGTCCTTAATCAGTAAAATCTCCCTGAAAGAGAAATGGTGATGAGTCAACAGCCATAGATAAACTATCCTCGGTCTCCACCAGTGAGGAGCGCAGTGCCCCAGCAGCCACCATGAGGTTGCTGCGTTCACTTGATGGGCCCAAAGATAACTTACCTATGCTTGTTTGAGGCTTTCTAGTTAATGCTAGCCTGCCCCTCTTTTGTTGTGCACGTAAGGCTGCATCAGCAGTAGATGTTGTACAGCACCTCAGAGGGGTCAGACTAGCTGATGGAGCCTTAGCTGCTGGCAGTGGAACATTCTCTTTTGCCAGCTCCATCAGGTCTTTGACAGACACTTGCTGACTGGGTGCCTTATTACCACTAAGAAGAGCCAGCAGGCGACTTCCCCTGCGTTGATTTTCCCTGGCTGTTTTCCTGCCTCTCTCCAAACTGATCTTGCGTTTCAGGAGAAGGTCAGAGCGTGCATCCTCATCCTCAGAATCGTAAACTACCACTTCCTTTGCTTCCACTGGGGCAATCGTACTTCTCAGCTCCTTTATCTCTTCACTGCTCAACTCCTCCCTTTCCAATGCTTTCCTTACTTCCCTGTCTCTCTTTTCCTGGAAGTTAACATTTTGGTACATTTATGAGACATTGATTAATTGAAGCCATTGTGGAAAGAAAGGAACAGCGGTTTGTTAACAAATAATTATAATAGTTATAAATAATGATACAATAATAACAACTGGTCAGTGGCACTTCAGTAACTGTATAGCGAGGTTTTTCCAGAATCTATCCACATTCTTAGGATGTGTCCTTTGAAATGCATGGAATGTGACACCACAAAGGCCCTGGTCCATCTGATGTCAGTAATCACGTGAATTAATGCACATGCAAGTGATGCAACAATCATTAGTCAATTCGCAAGCACACGTAGTGTACACAAGTACATGTGCTAGGCACTTTAATAAGCTTACATTTATTTATGTGAATTCATTCAAATTTAATTTCTCACTAATCCCTGCGTTAATTAATTATCTTAATCTGCCAGCTGTAAACAACCAGGCAGTGACAGAAGGACTTCAGTTGCAGACTGTAGAGGACCGAACTTTGAACAAGTGATTTTAGTGCCCTACCCGGCTCCAAAAAGCGCTCAAATTTGTGCCCCCAACTGAGTCAGATCAGTTACAGAGTTTATTTTAAAAAAGTAGCTCACAGGATATATTAAAAGTGGATTGGCCATACACTACATAGCGTGAAAATCAAGTAAAATGTCCCGTCGAAATATACATCTGAAAGATGCAGCTGACGTCAACAAATGTCCTAGTATATAGTTTTTTCCCCCAAAAGCTAGCGTTTAAGTAAATTGTAACATTTGGCTTTTACTTACCAGTGGTACAACTTTTGACGGTGCAGGTGACTAGAGGAAAACAAAAGGGAAGAATTTTTTGTCAATTAAGTGTTGTCATGAAACCACTTAATTAATTATCAAGCAAACCCGCAACAAAAACAACACACTTAACTTACGTGACTTTTCGCAATTGCTTGCTCAACAAAGGAATTCAACTGGCTTCTAGCCGACGGATTATCGAGTAACACTTTCATAAGTTCTTCTGGGTTTTGTACTTCCATTTTTCGCCAAAAATCCCCCTTTGAAGGAGCAATTTCTCTCCTTGCGTCCACCGAAAAATTTCAACTTGCGTCAAATTAGCGCAAACATTGTCACGCAATAATAAAGCTCGCCACATTCGCGCAATTTGGCGCTACCTCGCGAAAAAGGAGCACCAAAATTTCCAGCAGCTCGTACATGTATGACAAACCAAAGAATTAAATACAGATTATTTAAGTTAGTTCAGAATGGCAGATTATCAGACGTGTTTCTGCCCCGAATGCCGAGGTTGCTTGCGCTCAAGACGGACTGTTTTCAGACATCGGAACCTTTATGGATTAGATCGGTACACGGAGAACATCAAATGCAGCGGGCAGCCATCTAAAAAAGCCAAATTTTCCAATTTAAGGACATCAGAGATACCAGGTAAGTCTTTTCTTCTATTGATAGCACTTTGTCGATTTAAATACATATGTATGCCGCGTAAATCTTCAACTGGGAAAACTTACTGGGAAAAGCGGATTTGGGACTGGACTTGAGGAATTTGGAATTCAAAATCGCGGATTTGCAATCAAGGAATATGGACCATTCGGCAAAATAAGTCAAAAAAAGTTAATTTAATTGGAAAAAGCAAATGGATTTGATTGAATTACAACGGAATTTTTAACTTCACATGATGGTGCATTTCTATTTTTTTTTGTATCTTATTTCTTCAAGATGCCGCTGGTCAGCCAGCTGGACATGACAACCCTCCCTCTATTGACATCAAATCTGGGTCATGTGAGGTGAATGTCACTAATGATGCTCACACTCTTATTGGTGAGTCACATCAAGAAGTACTTTTATTACAAGAAATGATTTTAGATTTTTCTAGAAAGTAGGTATGATAGAAGGGCTTGAATTCTCTTTTCCTGGACATTACTGTCAGTTGTCTTTGTGCTACTTTCAGCCCTGGATATAACACTAACTCTGGCTTCTGAAAGTCAGCAAATTGACTCCTAAATACGGGGAAGAGGAGGGAACTTCTCAGTTGTTTTTAGCATAAGATACAGAGGCAGATCCAGGATTTTTTTTAGGAGGGGGTGCACTCGTCTCTTTCTCTACTTCAACACCAATAAACTACATAGTTTTTTTTGCAGAATACCAGTTGTATTAGAAAACCGCAGGTCATCTCAGGGGATGGGGGTGCACACCCCCTTCACCCTCCCCCTAGATCAGCCCCTGAGATATATGTTACAAGTCAATCAAATTCAGCTGAAAAAATTTCAACCTAATATGATAGGTTGATTCTCAATTTCCTTTGTCTCCAAACCCTAATTCATGTGAATAATATTATTGGGGCTAGGAGACAAAGGAAACAGACAATATGTACCTAGATAGAAAAATTTAACCTGAACTTAATTTTGACATGTATTGTGTATACATGATCGTCAAAGAAAAAAGAAAGTCAACTTTAAAAGAGGCACAGTTTATATATTTTTTTTTCATCTTTGGTCTTATAATTATGTATAGCCCCATTGGGAAAATAGAGTTTCATCCCCACTTAATACTCTTTATGCTTCTGAGACAGCAGTCACCATAGTATTTAGTATTTAATTCAGGAATAAACACACAAAAACATACCGACACCATTTCCAAAGCTTACATTTCAGCTTTATTTTTTTATAACAGTCATATACAACATTTTTTATTACTTGCAAACTTAATCGAAAAACAATAACATTCAAGTTTGACTTGGATATTTTAATGTTGCAATTAAGACCACTCAGTTTAATAATAATTAATTACTTATTAATATAATACATTATTACTCCTCCTCAAAATATGTTTTGTTTTCTACATTAAAAAATAATGAAAACATAGACTCATTGCTTGAGAACATCTAATTGCCAGTATTCTTAGCAGCCACCTTAAATGTTGGATTTTGTTTGCTCCAGGTGAAGTCCAGGTGATAGACATGAAATGTAGCAATAATAACATCAGTGCTGAGGAAACTAAAATGCAAATTAATTCAGGTATATTTTTTATCAATACCTTTATCATGAATTTTACTGAATCAAAACAACCTTACCAGTATATAGTGAGATAAATCTTAAAAGCAACGCCTATAATCCTTGCTAGTAGGAGAATTCCGATGTAAAAGTGACAGGCCAGGTATTATTTTGGGTGCCTTGAATTAGCCAAGGATTTTTTGGGGGTATCTTAAACAACGTTATTGGCGTATGGTAGTGCTAGTGCCCCACGTCTTCTTCTGTTGGTTTTGATTTAACCTCTTTCAATTATCCCTGTCAATTAAACTCTGGAGTACTCTATCCTGGGGGTCATTGGCTTTGTAGTTAATTGCATGGCTATGATTGGATCATCTGTAAGGATCAGTTAATGAATTAACTACAGGCAACATAACCTTCAATCACACAGATGTTAATGGGAAGAGGTGACACCACTTTACTCATCTCATAGTGGGGTCCTCTTCCTTGGGAGGAATAATTCCCCATACTGATTACAATTTTAACTTTTTTCAGGTGAAAATGGACTTGCTGACTTTGAAGAAAGTGACAAGGAAGATCAAGGGATTGCTGTCTTAAAAGGTATAATTTTTACTTTCATGAAATCTGTATCAGTTTAGAATTGAAATCAAAGTAACCCTCAATTTGTTTGGTAGACTTTAATGTGCATACACAGGGTTGTCACTAAGATGTCAACTTGCCGGGTAAATACAACAAGTAGGCGGGGAATCAAATGGCCAGGGATTTCTTTTGGTTCTATTTTTCTTCTATTTTCCGATAAAAGTAGCCGGGGGCTACTCTCTTAGTAGCCGGGGAAAATCCCCGGCCCCCGGCTCTTAATGACAACCCTGATACAGAACAGAGAACTAATACAGATGTTTAATGCACCTGTCCATGTAAAGCCTGAGGGGGGGAGGGGGGGTTGAGGAAGGGCATTGCATAAGGATTTGAATGTTTTCTGTTGGCCCTGGAGTTAAGCATTTGACTAATGTTCTTCTGGGGGGTGGGATATTTGAACCTTCCTTTTTTTACCGACGTGGCATGTGGAGATATCGACCACTAACTCAGACTTGTCAAGACCGATCACATGTGTTCCACTTCACGCATGTGCCGTACAGTCTGGAAATCAAGAATAATTATTAAATTTAAGACTTTTTAACCTTTTTGTTGTTGTTCACAAAAGATCATAACATCACATTCTTATATCTTATATCCATGGGACAGGGCCCTTAGTTGGAATTCTATAATTGAGATTAAACAACAATGTACAGCTCCCCACCAACTTCACATTGATAGGTGCATAAGGGAACTATTAACAATTGTCTAGGAATTTAATATTAGGATGATCTGATTGATCAGCTGCCGGAGGAGAACAACTTAATACTGTCTCATGTGTGATTGGTTGTGGATAACCAATTCAAAAGCTGACTGCAGCTAAATCTACATTAACATGTATTCAGCACTACAATGAGCTGCTTGTTTGTTCTAAGGGTTTCTGTCTATGAGAGAGACTTTTTAAATTCATTGTTTATTGCCAAATATATGTAACTTAAAAACTACAGTCTTTGAAGAATGCATGACTGTAAATACTAATATACTTCTGGTAATTCACACCTCTAGACACTATAGAACTATCAGACTGCAGCACTGAATCCGAAGCAGACGAGAGGAAAGACATGATGGAAGGAGAAAGTGCTGCAGTAAATGGTGCAGACCAGTGCAAGGAGGAAGAGCTGAAAGAAGATGTCATGAAGACAAAAGAAGACGGGAAACTAATTCGCTGGATTTCGTTAATACTTTTACGTTTAAAACTATCATTTAATTTATCTAATGCTATTTTTTCTATGTTGCTAGATCTTATTTATTTCATTTTTTGGGTAATACGTCATCCCTTATATATGCTTTTCCCGAAGTCAATCAGTGACCTTGAAACCATTGCCAATCTTAAGGTTCTCAACAAAACAATACTTTTTGCTGTTTGCCCCAACCCCAAATGCTCGTGTCTCTACCAGATGAATGATATTAGTTCTGAGAGGGATGGGGTTTTAAAGCCTCGCTTATGCAGGAACAAATTATATGGGAAAAGGTGTAATGCAGAACTTTCTTTTGAACGAAAGCTTTCATTTGGAAAAACTAAAATGATTCCATATAAGACATATCCCTTTTTAGCACCTTCTGAGTGGATAAAGACATTTTTTAATCTGGAAGAATTCTTAAATCTCATAAGAAACCGGCCTGAACCATCAACAACTGATTATAGGGACATATGGGATGGGCGTATTCTTCAGGAATTTCTAATGGATCCTGATGACAACACAAAGCCTCTTCTGAAGGACAAAATGAATTTGGCACTTTTACTTTACCTAGATTTTTTCAATCCATTTCAACGAGCGGTTTATTCATGCGGAGCCCTGTACATGAGTGTCCTTAACATTCCAAAGAGTCAGCGTTTTAAAGCAAAGTGGTCAATGCTGATCGGTCTAATTCCAGGTCCATCTGAACCTGAGGGTCACATCAATACTTATTTGACCCCAATTGTAGACGACTTGATCATGTTATACAAAGGAATTCACGTCCAAGTACTTGGGCCTGAGGTCATCTTCACCCGTTCTCTACTTCTTCCAGTACTTGCAGACATACCAGCCTCAAGGAAGTTATCACAATACAAGAGTCACAAGGCCGATCTTCCATGTGATAAATGTATGTTTCGGGCAGTTCGAGAAAAGGGCACCAGAGGGGCAAGTGGCAAGATGAGTTTTTACACAAGCGAGAAATCACCAGCACGGACTGACAGTGAGGTACGAAAGGCAATGGGTATATATAGAAAGGCAACAACAAAAGCAAGTGCACTAGCAATGTCTCAAAAAACAGGAGTAAAGTACAGTGAACTGGCTCGTCTGCCATACTTCAACATGGTTGAAAATTTCTTAATTGATCCCATGCACAGCATCTTGATGGGCCTTGTTTCAGACCTTGGGGAAGAACTTATAACTAATTCCAACAACTTGATGACAGAG